GAGAGAGAGCACAACTTACAGGGAAGAGTTTGATGTTAAGCAAATGGAATTTGGAGGGAGCCGAAGAGTGAAATCAGGCATCCCACAGAGGAATAAAGGGCATGGATTGCTCCTGCACACATGAACCAGGGCCTCCCTTCTGTGTGATAGCTGCTCCCCAACAACATTTGGGCAGTGAAGAGAGCAGAGAATGATAAAGAGTGAGGAGAGACAGAGAGTGTAAGGAAAAGAAAAGCAAGCTGATTTAGAATTCACTTTTGTGTAACCCATAACTGAGGAGGGCATCTCTCTGTCGGGCCGGTTTTCATTAACGTGCACTGGAGTGAGACATGGGCTGCCCTCTTTTCTATCTTGTTCTCTGCCAGCAGTCCTGCCACTCTCCCATTCAGAGAAACCCTCAGCTGGACTGAGCTGGTCTCCTGTGGGTGATGCAGCTGGAATCCTCTCTGTTTTGCTTGGAACACTGGATCTCAGAGGGCCTCTACTTGGTAGACTATTTTTAAAAATATGTTTTTTGGCTAACATTTGAATAGAACCCTTACAGGACCAAAGTTTTATAATAGAGATGCCTGATTGAGTACTTTCTGGTTCAAGTCTCCCCGTCAAACTTCAGCAAAAGCTGGGAATCTAGAGTGCTCGTAAACCCAAGCCCATTCATCATTCATCTATCTATATATTCATTCATATTAGCACCTGCCTTGTTCTTGGTATCCCAGGTTACACTCATGAAAAGATAGATACAGTCTCTGCCTTCACGGAGGACTCTCTTTGTTAGGGACGTCAGACATCAGATAATTACAATTAAATGCGATGAGCATTGCAATGGAGAAATACATCATGTTGAGGCAGAGGGTTGAAAGTATTAGAGTACAGTCTCTGTAGAAGGGACTTCTTGAATGGATTTAAAATGGTTGATTCATAGTTCAGAAGGTTTACATCATGGAAGTAAGTAGGAAGAAAGAACAGGTCGTAAAGGTTTGAAGCTGAGAAAAAGCATGGAGTTTCTAGAAACTGATCAAACATTCACCCTATGGCTAGAAATGTTGATTATAATCATAGAGAAGAAGTAAATAGATGGGGAGCAGATTGAAAAGACCTTTTCAGTCATTATAATAAATTTGGATTTTAGTCACATTTTCTATTTTAAAAAGATTACTCTGCTGCATTATGGAGAATGAATTCTGGGGCAAGACTGAATTCTTGGAAAGAGGTTAGGGGCTGTTGCGCTAATTCAGGGTTGAGGTGACAGTGCCTTGGATCAGAGTAATTACGGTAAAGATGGAGAGGAGTGCTTGCATTCTAAAAATATTGAGGATGTGCATTGAATGCAGTGACTGGATGGAGGGAGAGGGTGAGAGAGGATGATGGATGTCTCCTGAGTTTCTGCCTTGGACAACTGGATGGATGGTGGTGTCACTTATTGAAACAGGGAATACCAGAGAAAGAAATTTTAGAAGGGGAAGTTATATATTTAATTTTTGACCTTTTGAATATGAGGTGCCCATGAGGAGTCCGAATGGACATGGTTTGAAAGCAGAGGAGAGGTTTGGTTATATAGGTTTGGAATTGCAGGTCAAGATCATGGCCAACGACAGAGATATAAATATAGACTTGGAAAATAAATAGTGTATCATTTTCATTGAGGCTTTGAGAATGGAAGCAATCACTGAGGAAAGAGTAGAGAAGAAAAGGAACAGTTCAGACAGAGAAAAGAGGCATACCAGCATTTAAGGGGAGAATCTGAGAAAAAGCCTGAAAAAGCAGCGTGAAAAGCTAGTTCGTGGAGACCAAAGGAAGAAAGTGTTTTAAGAAAGCTGCTGAGAAATGGAAATTTATTAAGACGTTCTCTTTCTCAGTGTCGTAAGCACTATTTCATGAACTTCTTTAATGGGCCAGGAGGGGAGATGTTGAGGTCCCACTCAGATTTCTTTATTTCTGGGAACACCCATCCCCCAACTTCTGTGCTGGCTGATAGGACCTCCCAGCTGCATTTCTCTGCATAACTAGTCTCAGTCAAATGGAAGCCTTTCCAATGGGAGGCAAGATCCCTCACCTCACCACCACCCTCAAAACCCTAGACAGTGACAGACGTTTGCCTTTGAACTTGCTCTGTGCTGCAGTTCATGCCCCCTGTGGGGTGAGGCTGAACCCAGCTCCCACTGAGACCACAAACTTACTAGCTTTGTCCTCCTGGCCCATCTGGCTTTTCTAACTCCCTGGAGAAATCACTTGAACAGGGCTCCCTCTCTCAGGCTTGGCTAGGGATACTAAGACAGCTGGTAAGCTTTATCTTATTTTCAAGCCATATTGTTATCATCGTCATATAGAAAAGAAAAAACAACAACACAACAAACGCATCGGTTTCAACTCAGCTCTACCAGGCCTGCTGCAGTAAACATCCAATAATTTTAAAAGAGGGAATAGAGATGGAAAGGACTGTTTTGGTTTTTTGTTTTGTTTTGTTTTTGTTTTTGTTTTTTGGCTGATACACAGTTGCTTGTCCAATAGATATTTGAAGAAAAGGAAGTGTGGAAATTTACCTCATTTAATACTAAATTTTAAGGAGAGAGAAGCTTATTTGTGACATAAAACATTGGTTATTTTGAATTTTCCACAAAATTCAATTCTATTTAAAGTGTTCTCTCAAAGGAGATAAGATATAGTCAATTTCACACATATACACAAGATGGTGAATTCCACAACAGTGGCCAAAAGGGGTGTGTGCTCAGAGGAAAGAGATGTTCCGGGAAGGCTTCAGGGAGGAGGAAGCATTTGCGCTAGGTCTTAAAGGGTGACTTGAGATTTGAAAGATGAAGCTGAGGATTGAAGGCGGAGTGCATTTGGGGAAGAGAAGCCTGGACACAGGTAAAAGCAGCGTCTTTTATTAAAAGATAATAGCAAGTGCCTAAGATATAGAGAAGAGATGCCTCTACCCTGGGGCTCTTCATTTCGTCTGGAAAAAGCAAAGCCGTGGTCAGGAGGCATCATGACACTGTCATGAAGGAACTGAGTGTGGAAAGAGCTTCAGGAATGATAAGGGGTCTGAAACAGCTGAGAGAGGAAGGGCATTTTCAAATTAATAAAGAAAAAATGTTTGATTTTGCAGTTGCAAATGTCATACTTTAGAAGTTGTTTAAGGCATATCAGTTTCAGGTAAAGGATTCCATCTCTGGCTTAATAAAACTGATACAAAATGCTATTCTCAGTTCTTGCGCAATTCTCATATAGAGAGCTGATTTAGGAAATTGTAGTGCTTGGAAAAGATAAGTGTAGGAAGAGAGGAAGAACCTGAATTAATAATCATATAATTATAAATAAAATAGAGAGATATTTTATTTCATAACCCCTAACACAGAAAAGGAACCCCCAGTCTTTCCTCTCATTAGCCCCCTCTTTTCTCTAACTCACCTAGAAGTCTCTGTTTGAATTTCAGAACTCATGTTCAATTCAGGGAGTATTGCAATTCGAGAAACACCCTCTGTCTCACTATAGGCAGAGAATGACCTTGTTCTCACAAAACAAATTGGCTAATAATTCTGTGTAGTGTGTTTAGCATTTAATTTTTTTGCAGGTATTGCCCTGGTATTTACTTCAGGTACACTGTTTGTTTGACACTGCACACATAATTTCAGCTAAAGGTTCTGTCCTTCTGTTTTCCTTGGTGACAGGAACACCCAGTGGTGCTGACGAAATTTATTGAGGGGGCCAGGGAAGTAGAAATGGATGCTGTCGGCAAAGAAGGAAGAGTAAGTGCTTTATTCTCATCTCCCCCATCCCTGTCTTCCCATCAATTTTTTTTTCTTGGCAATGTTGAAACATAACATAGATTAGAGCTCATGATTTCTACAAAACAGGTCTCTAATAATAACGGATAAGCTGCTCAGTCAAAAAATTTTTCAAATTCACTGACAATTCAGTTATGTGTCATGGGTATCATATTTCCTGTGTTTTATGTTAGAATTTCACTGTTAGAATTTCTCTTTGATGATACTCAAAATTAATTATCATCCTGTACTCATCATTCTTTGTGAATACATTTTCTCTCTCATTTTCTTTTGTCTATGAGTTTCCTTTTATGTTTCAGTGGATATTAGAAAAACATCCAAAACTTTTCTTTCTGAAGTTCCTAATTGAATCCTTAGTTTTTCTTCTCCCTTGATTTCTCAACTGCCCCCTTTTTATTGGGTTAATGAAGGCAAAACCAAACAGAGTAGGGTAGGTAATGATAATAACATAAAATGGGCTTATTATATCACATCTTGTATTGCTAATGCAATGAATGCACACAACTTCAGGGAAAAACAAAAACGTGAACAACATTTTCCTTTAGTTCCTAGTTGTGTAATCAGGCATTTATGATTTTTTTTTGAAATATAAGAAGTTATGTTTTAGGAAGTTCGTGTCTATTTATTTGCTTTAAGGAAATATGAAAGGTTGACCTTTAACTTCTACTTTGCAGATATTTCAAAACACCACTGAAGATGTTAATTTTTTTTTTTTTTGGTCTTCCAAATTAACAGTTTAAAATAAGGTTTAAAAAAATGTCTGTATAGTACTGATTAACTTCTTACCACAGAATCATATAATCTTGAGTTGAAGCACCCTTAGAAATCATGTTTCAACCCCACACCCTCCAATGATGAAAATATTTTTCACAGCATCCCTAGAACGAGGTCATTTTTTTTTTCTGTTTAACTCTTGGTGATATAGAACACAAAAAGTAGTAAGATTATATATATTTTGTTTTGGAAGGTTTCTTTTTGGACATCTCATATATTCCTTCTTGTGAACTAAGTAAGATCTTCTTCCCTAGAATTTTCCTCCCTGACCTCCTGACCTCAGGGGTTGCAGAGCATAAGTTTAGCTTTTCTGCTTTTCCCACGTTTTAAGTATTGGAGACTGAGGTATAAAATACAAGAAATGTGACCATACCAATATGGAAGTGGACAGTGTAAAACTGGCCTAGAAACATTCGTATTTTTTTCAAATTGTGTGCTGGTAAAGTAAAATTGTCCTGATTTGGCTCCAAGTTGTAAAATAAGCTCTTGCCCTAAGCTTTTCTCAGACATCAGCTACTGCTTACCATCCTGGGCTCCTTCTTTTGGAAATGTTCCAGGTTTTTCACATAATTTCTAACTAGCCACACTCATAAGTGGACATAGTACTTCAGATATATTATGATATTTTCAGAACTCAGTGGGATTATTACCTCCTCATTTCCAGACGCTATTAAAAAATTAAGTGCTTACTATGCACTGAATATCATGCCACACACTGTTTATCTGTTCTATTTTATCCTTGCAAATATTCTACAAGACAGATACCATTGTAATTCCCATCTTATCAGAGACCAAGACTGAACAGATAAAGCATTTTGCCCAGGTCACAGCAGGAGGACTGAGTCTCAGATGTTGCTCTGCTGTAAGTCATCTATGAATCTAATAAGCAAACTCTTTGTGTAGTTTAAGTCTTTCACAATCACCCAATTATCCTCCCCCACCCTAAGCTTTGTTGTTCCCAAGGCACATATGCTATTAACATTTCAGGGTATAGTGGTGACACCATACACTTTGGAATCTGACAGATAAGCGTTCAAAATCTGACTCAGCCATATGGTAGTCACATGTACTTGAGTTATTTTTTCTTGTATTACCTTAGTTTCCTCATGCATAAAAAAGGACAAAAATATTTTCCTTTCGCTTCCCTCCTTTCTCAAATTTCAGAGTAAAGGTTTCTTGGTCTTTAGATCTGAAGTCTTCTTTCTGGTCCACCTAAGTTATGACCTTTACCTAGCTAGATACTCTCCACTCCCATCTTTTCTTTGTCACAGTCTAAACCTTAACCTAGAAGGAAAAGGTCAAGATTCTCTCCAGTGCCTTCCACATGCTTTAGTTTTCTATCTGCTCTTAAATCTCGATATGAGTTGGTTTTTGTTGTCCTCTTTTTCCTATTATTTATACCCATTCTAATCAATGGAAGCAGGAGGTAAGCTCTCAGCCACTCTGAGGTTCCCCTAGAGGCGATCTGTCACTGCACAGGGAAGCTTGACAAGTGTATGTGTGCTGCTGTTTCTACTGCTCTCATCAGGGACGTGGCAAAGGAACCAGTCAATGCTCGAGGCATCTGTAAGAATCAAAGGGGTGGGCAAGGCAGCAGTTTCCTTGAAGTAGGTGCCTGACGACTCTTTGTAAAATCTTCTTTTGGCCAGGTTATCTCTCATGCTATGTCTGAACACGTGGAAGACGCAGGTGTCCACTCAGGAGATGCGACTCTGATGCTGCCCACACAAACCATCAGCCAAGGAGCCATCGAAAAGGTCATCCTTTATAAATAAAAGTGGAAGGGGAAAAAGCAAAGATAAAAACATGTTTTTTTTAAAAACCAGTAGCAATGTAGGACTTGCCTCAGGTAAAATTTAATGATAAGGGAAACTTCCTTGCCCTGACTCTGCTGGGTATTTTAAAGATAACACTTTCCTTCACTGCCCTTCAGAGCCCTTTTGGATGGATGCTAGTGCAGTGGCTTGCTAATTTCAGTGTGCGTGGTAGTCACCTGGGGAGCTTGTTAAAGTCCTGATCCCTGGACGCCACCCCCAGTTTCTGATTCTGGCAATCTGGATGGGGCCCCAGAATTTGCATTTTTAACAAGTTTCCAAGCGATGCTATTGCTACTGGTCTGGGGACCATATTTGGAGAGTGCTGCTGCTCATGATGCTTTGAGCAGCGACCTACAGGTGCACATCATATAAAGCCATGTTTCTCAGTTAGAGGCAGGTTTGCAGCAGTCAGGCAGGAATCTTCTGGAACTGATGCTTTCACTATCTACTCGTAACCTCACTTCAAACCAGAGCTTTCTGATATGTCTCTTTCCACCCCAGTTTTAGAACCAATGCTTTAAAGTCCTTTCCAAGAACGATGATTAGGCCTCAGCAGTCAGCATGCACCGCTAGGTGTATTAGACTCTTATCTTAAGTAACTCCTGCGGATGTTCCTTTAGTCTTCAGGTATACTAGGTCAGGCTTGGCTTTTTTAGTGAGCCTTTTCACTAATCCTGAACCTATGAAGGTCTGTCTAACTATGCATTGAGTTGAATTCTGAAAGTTTTACCTTGTTCTAGAATGTGAAGGTAGCAGGGGGCTTTGTAATACCCGTAGCATAAAAGAACAACATCCCAGATTTCAAATATGCTTCAGTTTCTCCTATCAGGATAAGTGGCTTCAAGAGCTCAGAGTTTTCTAGATCTCTCCGAGCTCAATGTGCCACGGGTTCTATTTCCTTTTGTAACCAATTAAGTTGTTGGATCCCTCTTGTAAGTGTCATGAATGAGGGGCTCTGGCAGTCAGTGCCCCCTTCTGGCATGGGTACCTTCCAGCTCTGGTTATAGGACACAGGAACTCCTATGTGTGACATGCAGAGCCTCCCTGCAAGGAAACACCATTTCCTTCTGACCTTACTATCTACTCATGTAGAGTCTAGGGCAGCAGAAAAGCACATAAAAGAAACCTCCCTGGTCTCTTTGCCGCATCATGTCATTTCGGGGCCTGCACCTCTCGGCAGGTGCGTCATTAGATTGATACAGAGTTTGGTCTCCAGTTTCTGGTCCTGAAGCAACTAAACTGAAAGGCTATTTATCTCTCAAAGCAAAACCAGAATATATAACCGTCGGCAGATAGAGGCATTTGGCAGAGAGATAATCCTATAAAATTATTTGTTCTTTTCCGTGGTATCCTGTTATAAATATTTAGTGCATATTATTTTGTACATATTGGTGGCTTCTATTATTATTGTTGTTGTTATTATTATTATTATTATTATTATTATTATTGGAAATGTATCTCTCTGTGAAAAGAAATTAAAGAAATTTAAATTTAAGGTGCTGTAACTTTTTTGTTTGTTTTTTTTTAACTAAGGCATGCTTTTAACACTATGTTGTTGTCCTTTTGATCTAGGTGAAGGACGCTACCCGAAAGATCGCAAAGGCTTTTGCCATCTCTGGCCCATTCAACGTCCAATTTCTTGTCAAAGGAAACGAGGTCTTGGTAAGAAATGCCAAGGTGTTTGAGAGGACAGCACTGCTGTATTAGGTCATGTTGGTTTGTGTCCATCTGGTAATCTTCTCTGGAAACACAGGCACAGAGCAGCTGATACCCTGCAGCTGTTGGTATCTGAAGGTGGGGTTTTGCACAGTAGAGAAGGACTGCCTTGTTTGAAGGCATGGGCTCTTGGTAGCACGGATAGTCACACCTATGTAAAGCACTCCGATCTACTAGAAAGAAGATCCACAGTATAGTATAGATGGATGCAGTGACTATCATAAAGCGATCTGAATATGTACAACAGTTATAAATTACATGCACTGTCGTTTTTTGCTTTACTTCTTTTCAAGAGAAGGAAGCTATTTTGTATACCATTTACACACACAAAAAAAACAGAGAAGTGCTAAGTCAGCTAGTTTCGTCTTAGTCTATTTAATTTAACCAATCAGTGACCAATATTGATTCAGCAGTTGTAGTCATATGGTGACTACAAAGATTTATAAAACAGTATCAGCTCCTAAAGATCTTCAGTGTGATGAGGACTAGAAAAAAATTTGTAGATAACCATAACATAAGCTAGAGTATAATAGCTGCAAGAAGGAATGTACAAATAAAATAATATTGGAGTCATATAATAGAATGACCACATCTGCTAGTGTGTGTGTGTGTGTGTGTGTGTGTGTGTGTGTATGTATGTATGTGTGTGTGCACATGCACACACATAGGTGCATGAGCATGGATTTATGTGTCATATGTCTGGTTATCCGGTTTGGGATGGATCATAAAAGATTTCAATGAAGATTTTGTATTTTAAGCTGGACCTTAAAGAATGTCTGGAAGGAAGGTAGAGAGGACATTACACATGGAATATCTATGAGAACATTAGGCACATTTTAGGAGATAGTGACTAGTTTGGTTTAGCAAGATCATTTTTCTCGGGAAATAGTGGAATGTAACTTAGAAATGAGACTGAGGCCAGGAAAGTGGTCCAAGGCAATATAGGCTAGAGAGGCGTGTTGCGGCAGGAGGGCAGAAGGCCTCCCAGGACTAGGCTATGACCTGATGGCCAGTGGAAATCCAATGGAAGCTTTCTGTAGGGATGTGGCATTATCTAAGCTCCGCATTAACATCAACCTGTCAGCAGAGTGTGGGGATGGAATTATGGAAAGAGGATGGAAGAAAGTCAGAGTTCAAAGATACTGACTGAAGAAAACCAGAGGGCAAATGTGGGAGCAGTGGGGAGGAAAGGGAGAGGCCGGCAAAACAAGAGCTGGTCCCCGGTCCACGACAGCGGAGCCACAGGGGCAGGGCGAATATTAACATTGTTGTCATTGGCTCTCACCATCCTTTCTCTTTTGAATTTTGTTATCTCTCCAGGTGATCGAGTGTAACCTGAGAGCGTCTCGGTCCTTCCCCTTTGTTTCCAAGACGCTGGGGGTAGACTTCATTGATGTGGCCACCAAGGTGATGATCGGGGAGAACATTGATGAGAAGCCTCTTCCAACACTGGATCATCCCATCATTCCTGCCGACTATGTTGCAATTAAGGTAACATTTGAAAAAAATTCTATTAGTCATTATAGTAAGTTCCAAGGAAACTAAAGGAACAATTTTTCGTCAAAGTTATCTTGATATTTTATGAACCTTCCAACTAGAGTGCTGGACTGGGGACTTACGATATTCGCTTTGACGAATGTAAAGCAGTTGCTCTACAGTCAACTTTATGTGAACTATTGTACATTTCAGAAATGTTCTTCATGATTTTGAATTGTATAACCTGAAAACTAACTAGCCGAGTGAATGATAAACTATGTTTCTGCAATGGATGTATGATGGTGACAGTTTAGTTGGTAGTTAGAAATTATGGGCATATTTTGTTAGGATAAAGCTCGAATTATGCCACTTTTGAATTGTGCCAAGACTTCAGGAATGCATGAATCTTGGAAGAGTCTTTACCCTGTGATGTTGGTTAAATTCTTACCACATTGGCCACCTTCACTTAGTTCTGTTTCTTCAGTGGCACAATTTTTCCACTTGAGAAGTTGAAATAGCACTTACTGTTCACAGTGGTGTGTGAGGGTGATGCAATTGTAGCACATCTATGACAAGCGACCAGGAAAATTTAAGGGTTTGTTCACGAATTTCCAATACTATCTATGTGTATTTTTAACAATACCTTATAATAAAACCAGTGTGCTCCTGTAGCTGTCTTAGTGTGTCCATGCACAGAGTATTTATAATTATGGCTAACTACTTTATGGGACAAGCATGAGGATTAGTGAGATATTATGTGCATATATTTACATTTTTAGGTGAAGCACACAATGAAATTAATTTATATTGTGTGATATAGTTATGTGACATTTATATTGGGCTGTTGGAAAAGTCATGATGTATTTTTTTTTATGTTTTTCATTGCAAAAATGAGTCATGACTTTTCCGACAACCCAGTATATTTTGGATGTCTTCAAAAGATTTCCATTCCTATATGTACTAGTGACATCCACCATTATTGTGTTACAGCTGAGACTCTGACTTATACAGTGGAAGCTTTAAGTTGAACCTATAAATCAGAAAGTATTTATTAATCTTATTTAAGTTAGTGATTTAGGATGCCTTGGATTTTATACTGCATTAAAATGGAATGTCACTTTTTATGTGGGAGGAGGGTGACATTTTATTCTTGGAGACTATGACAAAACATAAATTGTTAAAGCTTTCAATATACATATATATATATATATATATATATATATATATATATATGTTTTTTGTTTGTTTGTTTGTTTGAGACCAACAAGTAGAGGCCCTGAAAAGCATTCTTCCCCTGGAAATTCTATAGATAATTTTCAAATTCATGTTTCTTTGTTCATAGATCCAGGAATATGTACATACATGCACACATGCACTCATATATGTATGAGACAATTTCCAACTAAAAACAATATACATTTTTCAAAATACACTATATCATCTAGTTTACCTTTTCCTAGTTATCATTGTATATGAATCTTGATGTTTTTCAAATTCCTTATTCATAGTCAATCTTAATATAGCTCTAGTGAGGTGAATACATATCAACACAGGATATTGAGAAGCTGGAGTTCAGGAATGTATAATAACTTGACTAGATGACCCAGTGAAATGACTCCAAGCTAGAATTCCCATGAAAACTTAGAGGCGTGCCAAAAATCAAAGGAGAAATAGTCTAGACTAGATAAATGTATATATATAAGAAAGAAAAATTTGATTCTTAGTGAGTTCCGCTGATAAAAAATAAATGAAAAAGAAGCACTCCTATCTATGTTCTGGTTCATATGAAAGTTCTGAGAAAAAGTGTCTCTAAGTAGAATGTTTTTTAAAGCTTTTTAAGAGGTGTCAACAACAGTTTAATGTCTCAGAAGTCAGCTTACAGACAGAAATTTCTGGCAAGGTAGCTTGTTGCAAGTTCAAATGATCAGAACAAGAAGGAGAATGTTTCAAAAGCCAAGCAAGGAAAAAATGTGTTTGAACTCTGTGTTTGGGAAGGCCAATGCCCAATTAGACTTTGTTTGAAATCACTCCAGTAAGAAACTGTGTAGGCCAGATTAGAAACACTGGCCTAGACTGGTCACAGGGGCCCTGTTTACAGAACTAATTTGTGATTATTTAACCCAAGTTTTTGGCCAAGAACTCAAGAAATTCTTGGAACAGAGTTTTAAAGCTATTTTTCAAGTCAGATGTTTGGACCAAAGAAGTTTTTTACACGTCTGCCATAGACTAAATGAATCATGTGAGAGATGATTCAGTAAATTGTATATGTATCCTCTTAGTTCCTTTATACCTTTTCTCACATATGTCTCCACCCGCATTATTTCTGACAGGCTCCAATGTTCTCTTGGCCCCGGCTGAGGGATGCTGACCCCATTCTGCGATGTGAGATGGCTTCCACTGGAGAGGTAACTAGTTAATGATCCATGAACATTTTCATTAAATCTAATTTGAAATACATGGTATTATGATCTGAATATAGTCAAGTAAGTTAGTAAGTAGGAAGGGGGACACAAACTTCTGCTATCAGAGTAAATCTGAAAGGGTTTAAGAATTTTGAGCTAAAGAAAAGTCTTTTGCTTTTGTGGACCAGAGTCTAAATTCTCACTTATTTCAACATGTAACTGTAACACATGTGTTCCAAATTCATTTTCACATTAGGCATTGAGAGCATCTTTCAGATACTTCTTGAGACAAGTAAATATCTTCTGGTCATTCTTTTTATTTGAAGGTTTTTAGGTCTCTCTGCAGTGGCACCCTCCGATTAGATCATTGGATTTTTACCAGCAATATGTAGACTGAATGTACAGTATTAAAAAGATCATGGACCTAAATATTGCACAATTCGCAGATAAATGCAAAATCCGAGAACCACTTTCAAAGCTGCTTTAACCTCCTGGGGATTATCTAACCACTATAATGGGATTGGCCACTGGATGTCCCTCTTCACTTGTGTTGGGACTCCTGTCAGCGGGAGGTTTCTTTAAGAATGTGAAATGTGTTCCTTATAGAGAGCTGTCAGATCCTAGAAAGTTCCCTACATGTCAGTGTCAGGACATTTTATGAATCACCTAGCCCTTGACAGACTTACTAGATCCAACCTTCAAATTCTCATCAGTGCACATCGGAGTGTCAACGCCAGACTGGGAGGCATCATTGTTTCCTCTTGGTATTAAGGAAAGCCTGAAAGGGGAACATGTTTAATTGCAACCAATATGTGATGTTTTATCTGGTTGCCTGGTTACAAGCAAGCTCTGTGATGAGAAGCCAAGTGAGACAGGAAGGCAAGCAGTGACAAATAAATGGCTATCTTGTTTGTATTTGGACCGATGATTGCCTAGTCTAGCCTTTTTGCTGCTTCTTTTAATTTAATAGGTGAGAACACCTAACTTTCAGATGAGCGACCTCCATTCTGTTTCTCAGCTGTTGAAGGAGACACTCTCTGAGTTCATCTTGATCCCATGGTCACTCAGTAACAGTGCTGTGTTCAGCTGGTCCACGGTTCAGATGAGAGAAAGAGCTCTTTTTCTTCATGCTGTTTGCTCTAGTGTGGCAAATGAGTTTTCAGTGCCTAAGTTTCTTCTGTCTGCAGACATACATTATTGGAGTTGCTGAAATATGAAAATATGGAAACATTAGAAATTTAGCTCCTCCTTTGTTGTATCTGTTTCAGAAATATGAAGAGAGAGAATGCTTTTTCCGTTATTAGAGTCATATTTCCAAGTGTCACTAAGAGTGATGTTACAAGGTCTATTTTATTACTGAAATTAGAATAATAATCTAGCTTAGTGAAATCTCAATTATGCATCAAAGAGACATTTTCAGTATTCAGATGGCTTATGGTAGGACTGAATGAACTATTAGCTTCTAATCTAGGCAAGGGGCGTTTTATTTTCCTAGTGGTGAGGTGGGACTGTTAGTCCTAAATTTTGCTTGAATATCTGACTGCCTTGTATGGTTTTCTTTTTGTATAAAACTGCTGAAATCTCCATGTGTTGTTGTATCTGCATTTTTGATGCGATGACCCTTAGAATTAGATTTCCAAATTAGAATTTGGGTCCCATTAACTTAGGTTGACATTACTTAAGTTGGTTGGCCAGTCCTTGACCAAAGAAAATGTTCTCTGTGGAGCATATACCGGGGGTGGACTGAAGGTCATAGTGATGAGAGCTTTCCTTGCCCCATAAAGGAATCATTTGCTTAAAGAATGAATTTAACCATCAGTGTTATTTACTATAATGGTGGCTCTGTACCTGTGCCAAATGATGGCGTACATGGCAGAATCTACTCCCATCATGCTCCCATACACCACTTGTTCTCTAGTTAGGGTGGCCATTTGACTTGTAGTTACATTGTAGCACATTACCCTCCATGAAGCTTCTATATATCTTAACATTATGTATTAGTTTGGATTTTTTTTTTTTTTTTACTGATGGCCGTGGTATTCAGGACTAGTAGCAGTGTCTTTTGGTTCATTTTATGAATATTATAAAAAGAAAACAACTTCCTTTGAGATTTTCATGGATTTATCCAATTTCTCAGAAGGCTTTCCATAAGCTACATGAAATGACTCCTAACAGATTGATCAGCAAGCAGTTATGCATTTGTGCTACTGACCCGTGAATTCATGCACTGCTGCATAGCATACACGATATACACTGTTATTTAAACATTATGTCATATTAACATTTGGTAACTCACAACATTATGAACTAGAAGCTGTGATTTGTATCCAAATAACTCACAGTAGAATCCAGTTATGTTGTTTCGTGGAGTGTTGTTGGATAGAGAAAGACTTGCTTATTCATTCATTATGCTTAATTAAAAACATAAGATACATCTGCCCTGACCAGCCTTTTCAGCCCTACACCCAGCTTGCGTGGGCGACTCAATAAAACCTAGCAAAGGAGTGAATAAGTGCTTGCCATTTGTATTTGTTTTTTTGGTAAGGGTGGTTGACTATTATTTGCCTCCTTTTATTTTATTTTTTTTTCATTTATTCTAAACAGGTGGCTTGCTTTGGTGAAGGTATCCATTCAGCTTTCCTAAAGGCAATGCTTTCCACAGGATTTAAGATACCCCAGAAAGGCATCCTGATTGGAATACAGGTAGGCGGTGTGTGGTTGTGTGCATGCCTGTGGGTCATGCTGGAATGGCTGTGGGAACGGTCCTCAATTGTGGTATATAAGAGGGGAGAGTTTCTTTTTTTTAACTTCCTCTAAAGAAAACAGAAACTTATAGAAAGAATGATGATTTGTTCTTTATATGTTCCCTGATTTTTGCCTTTTTCCATTGCAGTAACCAATATGAATAAGTGAATAAATAAAAAAGAAAGAAAAAGTCTCTAGTGAAAGGGTATTTGTTCTGAAAGATGTATATAGGGTACCTTATTAAGGGATCTCTTCAATTCCTTGGTTACACCTTTACATCTTTTCTATATGGGTCGCTCTTAGTTCTTTCTCTCTCTCTCTGTCTCTCTCTCTCTCTCTGTCTCTCTGTCTCTCTCTGTCTCTCTCTCTCTGTCTCTCTCTCTCTGTCTCTCTCTCTCTGTCTCTCTGTCTCTCTCTGTCTCTCTCTCTCTCTCTCTCTCTTTCTTCTTCCTCCCTTCTCTCCTTCCTTCCCCCCTCTCTCTCTCAACTTTCTGCTTTGCCAGCTCATCCATGTCTATAGTATCCACTCTCCTATCTGTAACTATCATCTTTAAATCTTAATTCTCAGCCATCTCATATTTCCAACAATATGTTGGCTACCTCTATCCGGGTGTCTCGAACCCAACACATCACAACTGAAGTCATATTATCCTCTCCTGAACTTCTTACATTCATTCATTCACATTTCAATTTCTACTACATGTCAAAGATTCAAAGTTGAAGGAGACATGGGAATTATTTGAGAAATTTTCTCAGCTTGAAACTCCATGGCTAATTGAAAGTTCTTGAAGGGCAGTGACTAAATGGCCTTATGAGAGTTAGTATGTCCCGCAGTAGACTGTGGAAGTTCTTGAAATATTATTATTTGTTAATCCTTCTAACTATGGTAAAATAACTATAAGTGAATATCTTCATATAATGAAAAGGGAACTATTGCTTTATTATTGCAAATCAAATGTAAATCTTAGCTCAGAATGGTAACCAGTAAACTTCTGTCACTCCTTGGAAAAATTATTGCAAAGATGTACACACTGTTCTGTTTATAAATTTCCTGAAAAATACTAGATGCTTTCAACTGCTCATTCACTTTCACTTGAGATTAGTAATTCTTGGCTCCTATGAAAACAATAGATGGTGTTATATATCAACCCTGCCATACTTTTAATAAACTCAGACCCTGCATGGTTACATAAAAATCATTAAAACATAATTAGAACAGTACCAGGTAACCTCAAGCCAGTGGGTGATTATTATAGATGCCATCTCATTAGGGTGTCTTAATATCAGCAAATTAGACTCTGGAGACTGCATGGGCAGTGGCTTTGAAGAAGCTTCTGCAAACAGTAACTTGGGATTTGTCTTTATAAAGATGCCAAAAGGGTGATGGTGAACAGTTAGAGCCGAGGCTAACAAGATGACTTGCAATTGCGAAGCTTAATGGCAGTTTAGAGACACATCACACCATATGGGAGACTCATTATGTTAGAAATGGGTATTAAGTATTATTAAGTCATGAGTATGAGAGTATTTGCCCAACTTCCAGTTGTGGCTTAAAGTTTAATGTGAGACCTGGGGGCATTCAGAGGAGACCATGCCCTCAGTCCCTATCTCCACAACTAATCATACCAGTGCTCACATTGTAAAATACCAGTTTAAAAAGGCAGTGATGTATAAAATTGTGCTTTGTTTGGTTTCAGTGCTGCAGGGAAATGCAAAGCAAAAATTAATTTGATCCCCAGGAAGTGTTTGTGTAATTTTGGCATCAGTGAAGAGAAGTTTTGCTTTGTAGGAACAAAAGGGGTTTGGGGGGTAAAAAGAGTTTTCTTAAAGCAGTGAGGTTCTGCTATTGAGATTCGACTTTTCAGTGTATTCTGTAAAGAAAGCAATGTTCCAGCCATTACAGAGGTTTTGACAAATAACTTATTCCCTGTGCTTGGGTGCATAATGTTAGGGATTTAAACATATGTGTATTTTAATCACAAAGCTTAAAAAAGTATATTTAAAGAAATATTTAATACAGTTATACTTAACAACATATTTGTAGCTGCAGTAAATTTGATCAGCATGACCCTAAGCCTTCAGAGATGTACAAAAATCATTTTCTGACCTACTTTATATGGGAAGCAAGGAAAAGCTGCCTTCACCAATAGTCAATGTGTAGTCTTGCCGTTACTATGTGAAGAATTTTCATTTACAGTTATTTCAAAAAATATAAAGTCATAGATGTAACTGAACAATATGACAGAACATACTAACTAGAGAGTGACTAGCTGTGAAAATCACCGGGCATCTTCTCAGTTAGAATGGGACCAAATCTAATCTTAACTTCCTACACAAGCTTCATAGCAACTGTGGACAAATTAATTAGGGTCCTGTATTTCAGGATACATTGTACTTTTTAAAAATCATTTTATTTAACATGATTCCACTAGATCAGAAGAATTCATATACACTCATTCGACTATATAGAGTCAGAACTGAAAAAGGACCTAAAATAGTACTACTACCATATAAATGGGGGCTAGGGTAAGTAAATACAAGGTGAGGCATTTAGTTGAGTTATGTAATGATGTTGTAAGAAAGAGATCCGCAATTTCAATTTTTATTTCTTAATGTAATCATTCCTTTAGCTTGATACGGTATAGATTTCACTCACAGGACAGCCCTCGTTGCTAGTACTATTGCAGTTAATTCGCCTTATTTCTTCATGTATAAATGGGGAGGATGGTCACCACCCACCCCATTTAGTTGAGGTAAAGGTCCTCTTTTCTCTTTACTTCCCCACCCTGACTGACCTGCCTGCTATGAGTAGAAGGATTTAATTAAAGATACCTTAACTCATTAATTTTTCACAACACGTTACAATAGAAAATTAGGGGGGAAAAGAACTATGGAGGCGCAATAAAAGCGACTCTGAGGCAGGAAACGTTTTTTTTTTTTATTGTTGGTAGTTTCGGGGCCGGCCGAGTGGCTCAGTTGGTTAAGACCTCACACAAGAGTTTGAGCTCTGAGCAACAGCGGTTCGATGCCCGGCCCGAGCTGAGTTTCCGCTGAGCTGCCAACAGGTGGCAGGATGGCTCAGCTAAACAAACAAAAAAAAAAAAACCCCCCAGGACTTTTCATTGTTGGTAGTTTAACACATTTTAAATAGTAGTTATTACTAGCAAATATCAGACACTTTTCAACATTTAGTAAATAGATATTGTATATGTGTATGTGTGGGGGGGGTGTGCATGCACTCTTTGGTTACATTGCAGTCTCCTTTTCATTCCTCTTTCCCATTCTAACCCTTTACTCACACAGACCCTCTGTTTCTGCTTTTCCAGGTTTAAATCCTATAGGTCAAATTACCTGAGAAGTTTGAAATACTCATACCATCAACCCTGTGTGACTAGGACTTAGGAAAAACAAAAACCCAGATTTAGGTTTTGCCAAAGGGTCCTTGTCAGCTTCACTATAATATTATATGCACTGCATCTACCAGGAGGCTTCCCATAGGCATAGAGACTATAATAATACAAGAAAAGCGGAGTGCAGATTTGTATGGCAACATAATCATCACTGATTCTCCTGCAATGTTCCCAGCCTCCTTTCATCCCATCAGGGGTTATTTTTAGTTGCTATGAGTAGACAGTCTGCCTCGTTTTGAAGTTTTCTGGAACTTCAACCCTTTAACAATAAACAATTTACTCTAGAGAAGATCAAGAGCATGCACTGTTTGTTCCCCTCTGATTGGGCTATTCAGGGATGCTGGTGGAGAGGAGGTGCCATCCTGACATCTGTGCTTCAGCAGTGCTCAGAAACACAAAGCAAGCGTTTTAGGTGACAAAGACAACTCCAAGTGACATGAATAACCTTTTATCTTCAATGCAGAAGCATTAGGAGCAACCATAGTGTTGTCAATCTAGACGCCCCTGGAGAGTCCA